ATCCCAGCACTTTGAGAGGCCAAGGTGGGTGGATCACCTGAGGTCAGGAGTTGGAGACCAGCCTGGCCAAAATGGTGAAACCCCATCTCTACCAAAAATACAAAAATTTGCTGGGCGTGGTGGCATGTACCTGTAATCCGAGCTACTTGGGAGTCGGAGGCAGGAGAATCACCTGGGAGGCACAGGTTGCAGTGAGCTGAGATCTTGCCACTGCACTCTGGCCTGGGTGATAGATAAAACTCTGTCTCAAAAAAAAAAGAAAGAAAGAGAAAGGAAGGAAGGAAAGGAAGGGAAGGGAAGGGAAGGAAGGAAGGAAGGAAGGAAGGAAGGAAGGAAAGGAGATCATTCCTTTAAACTTCCTAATTTTGCAGAAAGGGTGAATGTAATTGATTGGGCAGCCTCCAATACAGAGTCCGCACTCACCCAAGTGTGGTCATGGTGACAATGGTATACCAGAAGGCCGCAGGGATGCTTGTAAAGTTGGTCTTGTTTGTGCCCTTCTCGGCATAAAACATGACAGTGGCAAAGATGATGATGGCCATGGTTAGGGAAAAGAGGAGAAAGCCCAGCTCAGAGGCACAGCTCTTAAGTGTATAGCCCAGAATCCTCAAGCCCTGTGAGTGCCTGGAGAACTTGAAGATACGGAACACTCGGAACACACGCAGGGTGACAAAGGCGCCTGAGACATCGTCGTTCTTGGGCACCAAAAGCCCAATGTAGTAGGGCAGGATGGCCACCACGTCGATGAGGCTCATGACACTCCGCAGGAAGCGGCAACGGCTGGGGGCGGCAAACAGCCGCAGGAGGTATTCACCTGTGAATATGAGTACACAGGCTGTGTCCATGCAGAAAAAGGCCTGTGGGAAGCGTTCACCGCAGGGCTGCTCCCTCGAGGACCTGCGTGCAGAGCCGCGGCATGGGATGGTCTCCACCACATTGGCGATGACCGACACAGCGATGAAGAAGCCGGTCACATAGTAGAAAACGAGGGCTGCAGTGCTCGTGTGTGGATTCTCAAAGGCCCGCCACAGTCGCTGCCTCAGGGAGCTGCCTGCTGGCAGGGCTGGGCCATCCCCGGTCTGCTCGGCCTCCTCGTCCTCTGCCAGGCGCTCAGCATTCTCCTTCTTTCGGTCCCTATACTCTTCAAGGCAGCAGTCACCGACTAACTCGGGGACCAGGCCATAGAAAGCCAGCTCTTCATCAAAGGCCTGGATGCACTCCTGTCGCGGGCAGTGGAGCCGTCCTGTTCGGTAAAAGTTCAGCACGTGGCGGAACATGTCCGGGTCCCGATCAAAGAAGTACTCGCCTGAGTCAGCATCATAGAAGAATTCCTTCTCTGAGCTGCCCAGCAAGGTATCTGGGTAGCGGTCCAGAGTATTCTTCCAGGTCTCAAAGCGCCGTCCACTCACATTCACCACCAGAACCTCATCTCCTCGAGATGCCTTCACCCCCGGGGCGGGGGGCAGGGGCTGCTGGGCCAGGGGCAGCCAGCCCACCGCTGCCGCCCGAGCAAAAGGCAGCCACGTGGCCAGGCCTGCCGCCATCGTGCCACTCCCCAAGCCCAGGGAGACTTAGCGGGGGTGGCGTTTAGGAGAATATGGCTGTCTCCAGGATGGTGGGGGCTTGGAGATGCCTTGAGCCACCTGAACAAGGAAACTGGGGGTGTCTAGAGAGGCCAAGAGGAACCAGGAGGAAGAACTAGAGAGATGGGCAGGAGCTTGCGGGACATTTATAGGGCCTAGGAAGGGCCTGGGCAATGTCCTGAGGGACTGAGAAGGGACTTGGGGATGTGGAGAAGAGCAGAAAAAGGGTGGGGGGATGGGGCCAAGAAGGAGCTGAGGAAGGGTTTAGAGACACTGAGATGATTCTAAAGGAGTCAGCCTGTGCCTAAGAGGTGTCTGGGGGGCATCTAGAGGGGCCAAGACACACGTGGGGAGTTGTCTACACTCTCAAGAGTCTCAGGGAAGGCAGAAGGGCCTGGAACTCCTTTGCAGGGCTGGAGAGGAGACTGGGGCATCCAGAGGGATAGAAATGGGACCTGAGGTGCTTGAAAGAGGCTGAGAATGCCTGGAAGTGGGGGTTCTAGAGGGGCTGAGACAGGTGAGGACAGTTGCCCACACCCTCAAGACTTCTAGGAGAAGCATAAGACAGTTGGAGCCCCCTCACGGATCTGGAAAGGGAGCTGGTGCATCTCGAGGGGTGGGTGTGGAGCCAGGAGGTTGTAAAGAGGCTGAAAGGTGTATTGGGAGTGCCTAGAGCTGCCAAGAATAGCCCGGGGGGGGGGTGTCTGTACTATACAGGAGTTCTGGGGAAGAAAGGAGAGGCGAAGGCCTCCTAGTAGGGCTAGAGAGGGGAAGGCATTATCTAAAGGGTTAGAGAGGGGCTGGGTTATTTTTTGAGAGGCCGAGAGTTATCTGGGGGAGGTGAGTATCTAGAGGGGCCCAGAAAACCTGGTCGACACTCTCAGGAGTTCTACAGGGAGGAGAAAGGGGCCTGGGGAATTCCAAGGGACTAGGACTCAAATGTTAGGAAGTTGGGCACAGTCCCAGAGCACCCAGGGGATCTATAAAGACTAAATCAGAGGAAGGGGGTTACCCCAAAATCGGATTAAGATGGGGTGGGATGTTGTAAGGGAGTTGGGTGTGTCTCCAGGGAGGGGGTGCTCCTGGGCTTTGCAGGAAGCTGGCAGGGGAGGCTGGGAGAAGGCTGGGTCCCACTGTTGGGGGCAGGTCTGGGGAAACCACACCCCGAGGGGCTGGCGGTGCTTGCCGGGCAGTGGCAGTAGCAGCAGCGGCAGCAGAAGGAAGAGAAGCAACCACAGCCAGGCGTAGGAGAGAAGGTGGCATAGGCAGGGGGAGGGCTCGGGGTCCCCGGAAGGATGCCTGGGAAGGACAAGGTCCAGCGGGACCCCTGGGGACTATCCCAGGATGGGCTAGGGTGTGGGGGCTGGACCAGGAAAGGATGAGGACAGCGCTAGTGGTGGTCCCCCTCCCCCCACCTCGGGCCGTCCTCACCTGTGTCCCCGCTGCAGCAGCAGCAACAGCGGTGGGGCTGGGGGTACCAAACACCCGAGCTCCTGGCACCCTCTGCAGAGCTGCCTGAGTTCTCCTCCTCCTCTGGCTCTCTCTCCCCGCCCCTCCAAGCTTGCCGGGAGATGAAGAGAGAGGCAGGGAGGGGCCTCTGGCTCCCTGAGCCCCCTCCCCTAGGATAGCCAGAGAGGGACCCTGGGGAGACTCCGCCTCCTACAAAGCTGGTTGGGCCTCAGTCGCGTCATCTGGAAAATGGGGGTGGCAGGGAACTTTGCCAATTCTCCTCACCTCCTTCCTGGACTCCCCTTTCTTCCTGCCCAGCTCCTACCCCCTCTGCCCCCAGGGGCCCCCACCCCCACTCGCCTGAATCAGCAGCACTTAGCAGATCCGATCGATGGGGAGGCGTCTGTTAATGGCCCCAGAGCGGAGTGCCACAGGGAATGATGCAGCGCTGTCCCCTCCCTGCCCCCCTAGACTGTGGAAGGGCAGGAGAACCAGGGGTAATTGCTGGGGAGTGTTTCTCCAGACGGCCAAGTCTCCAAAGCTGCCCCTTGAGGAACGCAGCATAGGTTAGAGCCCCTGCTCTAAGATTTCGGCTGTGGGACTGGAGCACGCAACTTCCTGTTTTTAGATATGAAATGAGGGTAAAGGGAATGTAGAGGGGGACAATCCAGGTCCCACGCCCCTACCAAGTCATCTCCCAGGCAGGCCCCATTCCGAGGGGGGTCTCCCTTATCTGTCCACATCCAGTGGCCTCAAATCACACCTCCTCCGCTAGAGGGCTCTGCTTCTGGATGGCAGGAGCACTGATTATGGAGTGCCTCTGGCTGGCTAACAGTGGGTTCAAACTCCAGCTTTGCCACTGACTTGCTGCATCCTTGAGCAAGTGACTTGCATTGTTTCCTCAGTTGTAAGATGGAGAGTGTTATCCTAACTCGATAGCGTCATTTGGAGCATTACATGATGTGAAAGGGCATAGGACATACCACCAGGGATGCTTAACCTTAAAGGAGTGTGATGATGGGGGCATCGTATCACAGGGCCAGGCCTAGCCTTTGATCCAATTTACCCACCCATGTAATCTTCCATTTGCCCACTTGGCACACTCCTGATTTGTCCATCTCTACGGCCATCCTTCCACCTACCCATCCACCCGTTCTCCCACCCACACAACCAGTTACTCTAACCATCCCTCCACCCACCCATCTGTCCACTTAGTTGTTAATCCACCCACCCACTCATTCATCCATTTGTAAGTTCACCCCATCCACCTAACTATTCACCAACCTATCTGTTTGTATCCATCCTCCACCCATCTCTGTCCACCCAGAACACACGCAGGGCGACATCCTCCACCCATCTCTGTTCATACATAGCTCCACTCATCATTTTTTCCCCCACTCTTTACCTTTCCCATTCATTAGCTCATCTACCCATCCATCCATTCCCCTATCCATTGGTTCATTTACTCCCAACCTGTCCATAAACCCATCCATTCACCTATCTACCTAATTCATCCATCATCCATTTGTCCACAGACCTATTATCTACCTGTGCATTTACATCTCCACTATCCATCTTTTATCCACCTACCAATCTATCTACCCATTTATTCATCCAACCACCCATCCATCCATACGTCTATCGTTTATTTTTCAACCTATCCATCATCAGTCCATGCAACCATCCACTTATCCATCCATCAGTCCATCTAATCACTTATCCATCCTCCTATCTGTCTACTCATCTACACCCGCAATCCCATACATGTCTACCCATGTACATATCTGCAGGTATTTCAGCTCCACTCAGTTTGAGGGGTTGGTCAGCAGTAAATGGAGACAGGCTGGATGAGGGTAGGGAAAAGAAAGTAATGTTGCAGCCAGAGACCTCCCTCCCTATTCCAGTGGTGTGAACCTCCCCGCCCCCAGCACATCCCTCCTGGTTGAAAAGAACGAGACCAGACAGTCAGTGGGTGGGCCCGTCTGGCCAGATGGTATTTTGGCTGCACAGCCTTTACATACACACACACACGTGTTGCTAGAACGCTGAACATGGACCACACACCCACCCAACATCCCCAATCCCAAATGCAGAGTAGCCAGGCTCCAGACATAAATTAAAAAATAAAATAAAATAAAATAAAGAGTTGGTCTCTGGGAAGGAGAGCTCATGCAGAGATAAAGGCAGAAGCCCTTGGGAGCCAGGACCAAGGAGAAGGAGAAATCCCTGCCCCTTCCCTCAGGATCCCCACTTCCCAGTGGCTTCTGCCCTAAGACAGGATCATTAACACTAAGCGTCAGGCCTCTAGCCCCTTTAATGTCCAGTCTCCTAACATATTTGATTTTGGCTCCAGCCTTCATTTTCCCACCACAGCCCAGGGGAATGGCATCCTAGCGGGTAGGAAGGGGAGGGGGTGGGTACAGCCTGCAGGTCTTTAGCTGGTTTCTCCTGGCTCTAGGTCTGGGTCAGGAGACCCCACGCACTCCTTGCTGAGCCGCACAATTTCCTGGGACAGAACTTCCATGTCCTAAGAAACAAATGAACCATCAGGGGCCAGAGAACGGGACAGGCTGCTCCCTTGCCAAACCTAGGGTATCATCTGTGATTTCCTTCACGCCCCTTCGTTAATCAATGCTCAGCTGTGTCTGGCCTGGGATGGGAAGGTACTTGGAGAAGCTCACAGCGCCACCAGCAGTGGGCTGGGCTCAAGTCATGAAGATGGGTGGCGAGCTACAGATATGGGAGTGCAGCGCCTCCTGCGTCATGGTGGTGCTGCAGGATACACCACCACTCTGGCCACCTGCCCTTCTACTAAGTGTGCACTTACTTCTCAAAGGCAGGAGCTGGATCTGACTCCTTTCTGACTCTCAGAGATGGGGGAAGTCTTTGGGTGGCAGGTTGGGCAAAAAGATGGGTATGTGGGCCCATGGGGGATCTATTGTAGGCAAACAGGTGAACAAATGAATTGTCCAGAGGACAGATGGAGATCAATAGGCAGGCAGGAAGGTCACTGGGTGGGTGAAAGGTAACATAAGGGGCAACTGATGAGTAGGTAAGAGAATGATCTGTCAGGAAATGGGTGGCAGGACGAAGTAGACAATGAGATGAATTAGTAGTAGGTTGGATAGATGGACAGATGGGCAAATGGTTGGGTGAATGTGTAGATAAATGGATGAGCGGGTACATGGAAGGAACAAATGGGTAAGTTGATGAGAGGGTGGAAGATGAGAGCATGATGGGGTAGCTGAGTGGGTAGGAGGATAGCTGGGAGGATGGGCTGGGTGGGTGGGTGACCCATGGGCTGTGTGGCTGGGTAGGCAGGCGGCTGGGTGAACAGATGGGTAGGCTGGCAGGCCACACTCGCCTTGTGCAAGTGCATATTCTTGGTGAGCTGTTCCTCCAGCATGTTCTGCAGCTTCTTGTTCATCTCCCGAAGGTTCTCGTCGCCTGGCTTCACCAGGTCTCTCAGGACGCTGCCCAGCCCGCTGCGGTCTGTGTGGCCTGCTGCCACAGACACATCTGCAAGGGCCCAGGCTGAAAACCACCCCCTCGGCAGAGCCAGGCAGAGCCGGAGGAGAAAAGAGTGAGACGAATACCAGGGGAGAAGGGAGCAGGAAAAGCCACGCCATGTAGGGCAGAGGCTTTGACATAGGAAACCTAGCTCTGTCAGTCACTAGCTCTGCGGCCCTGAGAGATGAGGATAACTCATGGACTGGAAAGATGCACATGACTGCATGTGAAGCACAGAGCACACAGAAAGCCCTCGGCACATGTTGGTTGGTATGATTCTGATTAATAAAGAAAAATCTGTGAAGGAGAAGGTTTGAAAGAAAGAAGCACAAGCAATGAAGATACAGAGAAGGAAAATGTATGGATACAGACAGCAAGACAAGATGAAGGCGGTGGGTGAAAAAGAAACAGGAAGAGAGAAGGGAGAGAGAGGGGAGAGGAAGATGAGGCATAGGGAGAGGAAAGGAGAAAGCAGACAGAGAGACACACTGGAGAATGAGAGTGGAGAGATGACAGAGACAGAAGAGGGAGGAGGCGAGAGCAAGAGACAGCACTTTCCTGTTCTCCCTTCCATAGGTCATGGTCTTGTCAGTAGCTTCTCTGAGTTCCAAGAGGAGAGGAGAGAAGCCCAGGCATAGAAAGGAGCGGGAAGGCCAGGTGAAGGCTGGACCAGGGCTAAGGGTGGGGAGCGGGCACTGACCGATCCGGCTGTCCATGACGTAGGTCTCAATGATGGCACTCTTCCGGCAGAGGTCCTCTGCCATGGAGGCACTGCTCACCTCCAGGTGCTTCACCTGCAGGATGGCCCAGCCCACTTGAGACCTCTCTACTGTACATGTTCACACATGAGGCGTCCCGGCCATATCCCACATCCCCAAGGGCACTTCAAGTGAGGATGGGCAGGCAGGCAGGCGGGCAGGCGGGCAGGCAGGCAGGCGGGCGGGCGGGCAGGCAGGCAGGCAGACAGGCAGGCAGCACCTTCTCTTCCAGCATCCATTTCTCCTGCTGTGTCTCTGCCAGCCGCTGAAAGAGCTCAGCCACTTCCTCATCTGACAGCTCTGCTGGCCGAGGGGGCTGGGCCTGAGGGCTGCTGGATAAGGACTGCAGGAAAGAGAAGGGGAGAGGCCAGCCCCAGGCTTAGCACCACCCACCCCAGACAAGTGTCAGGTACTGGGGCGGAGAACCAGGCCAGAGGTAGGTGAGAGAACACAGACCCTGAAACTGGGACTGTAGGTCCATCTTGGTACCCTCAGACTGTTTTCCCCTCTGCCTAAACGGGGGTAGAGAGTAACGACATCAGAGCCTTATGGAGAGGATTAAAGGAAGATCCCAAAGCACATGAGATTTAACTTTCAGCTGACAGGAAAACTGGAAGAGAGAGGGACATGCTAAATCATACTATCAGGAAGCCAGCAGACAAACCCAAAAGGTAACATACTTCCTGTGCGGCGACTGGGCTGGCCTCTTCAACAAGCTGGTCTCAGGAAAAAAGGGATCACAGTAAAGAGATTTAAGGGCCAGGCCGGGCGCGGTGGCTCAAGCCTGTAATCCCAGCACTTTGGGAGGCTGAGGCAGGTGGATCACAAGGTCAAGAGATCGAGACCATCCTGGTCAACATGGTGAAACCCCGTCTCTACTAAAAATACAAAAAATTAGCTGGGCATGGTGATGCGTGCCTGTAATCCCAGCTACTCAGGAGGCTGAGGCAGGAGAATTGCCTGAACCCAGGAGGTGGAGGTTGTGGTGAGCCGAGATCGCGCCATTGCACTCCAGCCTGGGTAACAAGAGCGAAACTCTGTCTCAAAAAAAAAAAAAAAAAAAAAAAAAAGAGATTTAAGGGCCATAAAACAACCAGATATAACATGTGCTCTGAATCTGAATGCTAGTTTTCATAAAACCAGCAAGAAAGGACATTCTGGGGCAAACTAGAGAAATCTGATGATTAAGGTCAAAGTATTAGATAACATGATTTTTTTTTGTTTTTTGGAGACAAGAGTTTTGCTCCTGTTGCCCAGATCGCAGTGCAGTGGTGCAATCTAGGCTCACTGCAACCTCCACTTCCCAGGTTCAAGTGATTCTCCTGCCTCAGCCTCCCGAGTAGCTGGAATTACAGGCGTGTGCCACCACGCCCAGCTAATTTTTGTATTTTTAGTAGAGATGGGGTTTCACCATGTTAGCTAGGCTAGTCTTGAACTCCTGACCTCAAGTGATCTGCCCACCTCCACCTCCCAAAGTGCTGGGATTACAGGTGTGAGCCACCGTACCCAGCTGATGACTTGAAAATTTATCAAATTGGGAAGGTAGAGACAACAGTTGAATAAAAACAGGTTAATCTCATCTAGGTTTTAAAAAGAGAGAGAATTCTGGAAGAGTATAAACTAAGAATTTACTTATTTTTTCTTTTCTTTTTTGAGAAGAAGTCTTGCTCTGTCACCCAGGCTGGAGTGCAGTGGCACGATTTCAGCTCACTGTAACCCCTGCCTCCCAGGTTCAAGCGATTCTACTGCCTCAGACTCCCGAGTAGCTGGGACTACATGTGTGTGCTACTGTGCCCAGCTAATTTTTTTTTTTTTTTTGTATTTTTAGTAGAGATGGGGTTTTACCATGTTAGCCAGGATGGTCTTGATCTCCTGACGTTGTGATCCACCCACCTCGGCCTCCCAAAGTGCTGGGATTACAGGCGTGAGCCACGGCACCCGGCAATAATTTGTTTTATTTATTTATTTATTTAGAGATGGAGTCTCACTCTGTTGCCCAAGCTGGAGTGCAATGGTGTGATCTTGGCTCATTGCAACCTCCACCTCCCGGGTTTGAGCAATTCCCTTGCCTCAGCCTCCCAAGTAGCTGGGGTTACAGGCATGCACCACCATGCCCAGCTAATTTTTGCATTTTAGTAGAGACAAGGTTTTCCTATGTTGGCCAGGCTGTTCTCAAACTCATGACCTAAAGTGATCCACCCGCTTCAGCCTCCCAAAGTGCTGGGATGACAGGCGTAAGCCTGGTCCTGAACTAAGAATTTACAATGGTGACTTCTGGATGGTGAAAATTTTTTTTTTACATTAAGGTTTTTTTGGGTTTTATTTTTTATTTATTTATTTTTTAAGACGGGGTTTCACCATGTTGGTCAGGCTGGCCTTGAACTCCTGACCTCAGGTGATCCGCCCGCCTTGGGCTCCAAAGTGCTCGGATTACAGGCGTGAGCCACCGTGCCTAGCGGTTTTTGTTTTTTTTAGAGTTGGGTTTTCACCATGTTTCTCAGGCTGGTCTTGAACTCCTGAGCTCAAGTGATCCACCCACCTTGGCCTCCCAAAGTGCTAAGATTATAGGCATGAGCCACCACACCCAGCCAGACATTTAAGGTTTTAAAAAATCTTTGCTGGCTGGGCACAGTGGTATGTGCCTGTAGTCCCAGCTACTCGGGAGGCTGAGGTGGGAGGATCGCTTGAACCCTGAAGTTCTGGGCTGTAGTGCGCTATGCCAATTGGGTGTCCGCACTAAGTTCGGCATCAATATGGTGACCTCCCGGGAGCAGGGGAACATCAGGTTGCCTAAGGAGGGGTGAACCGTCCCAGGCTGGAAACAGAGCAGGTCGAGACTCCCATCCTGATCAGTAGTGGGATTACGCCTGTGAATAGCCACTGCACTCCAGCCTGTGCAACATATTGAGACCCTGTCTCTTAAAAAAAAAAAAAAAAAAATCTTTGCTCGTGTGTGTGTGTGTGTGTGTTAAGATGGAGTTTCACTCTGTTGCCTAGGCTGGAGCGCAGTGGTGCGATCCTGGCTTACTGCAACCTCCACCTCCCGGGTTCAAGTGATTCTCCTGTCTCAGCCTCCTGAGTAGCTCAGATTACAGGCCCCCACCACGCCTGCCTAATTTTTTTTTTGTATTTTTAGTAGAGATGGGGTTTCACCATGTTGGTCAGACTGATCCCGAACTCCTGACCCCATGATACACCTGCCTCGGCCTCTCTAAGTGCTGGGATTACAGGTGTGAGCCACCACACCTGGCATCATTTGTGGTTTTTAGAAAATGTACTACAGTGAAGGGGAAATTAGCCCACAGATGATGAAACAGAGAGTCAGCAAGAGAGAGAGAGAGGATTATTGGCCTGTCCCCCATATAACAATCTGAATCCAAGTTGGTGGGCTTGGAGAGAAGGTGACAAGAAAATATGTGTGCTGTGCCCCAAAGTAGGATATGGTTTTAGGTAAGGAGAAAAGGAGAGGGGTTCTCAGATTTTTAGGTTGGGAGAAGCTGGGGCTGTAGGTTCTTCCTTGCCCCTTACCCTGGCTGGAACAGCCGAGCTCTCCTTTTCTCGCAAGATCTCCCGGTAGCTGAAGGAGGAGATGCTACTGCTGTCCCCTGTCTGAGTCCGGCTTGGTGAGTTCATCTCTGAGAGAACCAGCTCCTCAAGGCCTGGGTGGTGGAGGGAAGAGAAACTTGAGCCCCAATCCCCGTGAGTCCCAGGATAGCCACCAGTAGGAAGCAGAAATAGATTTGACAGAGATGGAAAGAGAGACACCTAGGCATGGGGAAAGGCAGAAGCGGATGGCAGGACAGGGCGAGACAGAGACAGAAAAAAGAGCTGAGGCCAGGCGCAGGGTAATCCCAGCGCCTGTAATCCCAGCACTTTGGGAGGCCAAGACGGGTGGATCACTGGAGGTCAGGAGTTCAAGAATAGCCTGGCCAACATGGTAAAAACCCATCTCTACTAAAAATACAAAAATTAACTGGGTGTGATGGTGCACACCTGTGATCCCAGCTACTAGGGAGGCTGAGGCAGGAGAATCACTTGAACCCGAGAGACAGAGGTTGCAGTGAGCTGAGATGACACCATTGCACTGTCTCAAAAAAAAAAAAAAGAAAAGAAAAGAAAAAAGGGCTGCCTTTCTGGAGAAACACATACAAAAGGAGAGAGAGAAAATGGAAGAGGCTGGAGAAACACAGCAATGTGGGTACACGTGGGCCTCAAGTGGCAAACAGACACACTCGGACACAAGGTTCAAAGAAAGGAAGACAACTAGAGAAGGCACAGGGCACAGCCACTTGCAGAGAGAAAACGCCAGAGATGGAAAGCCAGAGCAAATGGCAGAAACTAAAGAAACGAGCCAGAGCAGAGACAGCAACAGAGAGACAAAAGATGCAGGCAGGCTCTCGTAACCATGCACCTAAATCTCATAACCATGCACCTAATCTAATGGACAAGGTGAATGTATGGTATACAATTGTAACCTTTCCCAAGATTTTTACATTCATCTGTAATAAAACAGAAACAGAACTCCTCCTTTATAAAGAAAGGTTACTTCAGGAGACTGAGTGCCTCAGAGAAAAATTGATTTGGTGAGAGATACATCTGTTTTGCCACGTCACTTAAAGCACAGGCACAGAGCTTGTGCGGCTGCTCATGTAGCTGCTTCTGGGTGTCAGGGAGGGGGATGACAACACGCCCTCAAGGATCTCCAGCAAGGGTGGGGTGGCTGAATTGGGGATCCATAGGTATCCCGAGTAGGGGAACAAGGGACCAAGTTTTCTCTGAGTCTGTGATCTCAGAGATGCACCAGAGCCATCACTGCATTTTACTTACTTAAATATATTTATAGGCCATCCCTGTCTAAAAAAAGGCTGAAGCAACTCAAGTTGTGTGTGTGTGTGTCTTCTGCTTGAAGTGGCAGAAATAACAGATTGGATTAGCTGTAAAATGAAAACACCACAGTGTTGCTGACTGTCTTAAGTCTGTCTCCCTAGCTCAACTGGGGGCTTCTGGAGGGCAGGGACTCAGGGAGTTTGATATCAGGGACCCTGGACTTGAGTGTAGAGATTTATAGAATGAGAGATTATATACAACAGATTTAGAAACACCAAGTGAGGTGTGGGAGTGTGTATAGTACATACAGTGAGGAGACAGAGATATAAACAGACAAACAGAAGAAAGAAAGAAAAATGAGACAGAGAACAGTAAGAAGAGATAAAGGAACAGAGAAAAGAAAGGGGGGAGGAGAAAAGGAGAAAACTAGAGAAAGAAAGTAAGGAGATGAAGGCAAATATAGAGGAAAGACAACAAAATGAGAAAGAGGCAGAGACAGAAACAGAGAAGACAGAGCAAAAAAGAGACAGAAAGAAAGAAACAGAGAATGCAGAGAAAGAATCAGAGGAGAGACAAAAGGTAAAAGACAGATGGAGCTCTAGAGCGACAGAAGCAGGAAAGCACAGCTGAGGAAGATTCAGGACTGACCTGCAGCCTGCAGGCCCAGGCCCTGCCTTCCCCATGCCTCAGCCTCCTCTTCCTTTCCTGGTCCCTCACCTGAGCGGCTCTTGCTGTTAGTGAGGATGTCCTGCAGCCGCTCCTGAAGCTTGTCTGCCCGTTTCCGTTCCAGATGCAGCTGCCGCTTGAGGTCCTTGAGCTTTGGGGTAGGGGGTAAGCTTAGGACTGAGGCCCAGTGGGCCCAGAGGAGGAGGCCACTGGTAGGAGGGAGCTGTGCTTGGGCACCCCTCTGTCTTACCGCAGCACTGCCCTTCTTCTCCAGGATCCTCTGCCCATCCACTGTGTCCTTCACCTCCTGTGGGAGAAAGCAAGCATGGCTGGTGGGTGCTGGAAGGGTTGCCTGCAGCATGCTCCCTCCCTGCCCTGCTGCACACTGAGGATCAGGGGTGTGTCTGGGGCTGTGCAGGGTTCGCTGACCTGCTTCAGGCCGCTAATGGTCTTCAGGTGGCAGTCCCGCTCCTCCTGGGCCTGCTGGAGCTGATCCCGCACATCCTGTAGTTCCTCCTCCTTGCCCTGCAAAGCAGAAAGCAGCTCAGGCCTTGGCTAGGGAAGCCTCTGTCCTCCCAAGGGGCCCGTCAGTGTCTGGAGAGAGGAACACCATCATGCGAGAGGCACCTTCAGCTCGGCAGCGTGCTGCTCCCGACATTGCTTGAGGGCTTCCTCTTGTTCCTGCTGCTGCTGCTGCAGGGATTCCTACAAAACAAGTCCCAGGTCTCGCCACAGCCCCTCAGAAGACATCATCCCCAGTTAGGGGTATGAGGGACTGCAATGGGGGTCCAGAAGTATGCAGAAATGACCCCTCCTGCAGGGAACCCCACACGCCCTTAGGCAGTATACAGAAGTTCACATCTAGGTCTGCCCCATTCACATGGTTGACCTAGATTTCCATTACCATTTTCTCTTATTTAACAAAACATAACACAGCACTTACTACGTGCCAAGAATGTTCGAAGGGTTTTACATATATTAACTCATTTTCTATAATTCTCCCATAATACCTAGATGGTAGATATTATTGTTATCCCCTTTCTACCATTGATGAAAAGAGGCCACAGAGAGGTAAGATAACTTGTCCAAGGTCACACAGCTAGGAAGCAACCCAGCCAGGATTTAAACCTAAACAAACAACTGGCTCCCGCCTGTGCTTTTCACTGCTACATGACAATTCCTTTCAATGTATTATAAGAGTTCCAGAAAATGGACCGGGCGAGGTAGCTCACGCCTGTAATTCCAGCACTTTGGGAGGCCAAGGTGGATGGATCACAAGGTCAAATCAAGACCATCCTGGCTAACTCGGTAAAACCCCGTCTCTACTAAAAATATAAAAAATTAGCTGGGCATGGTGACACGCGCCTGTAGTCCCAGCTACTCAGGAGGCTGAGGCAGGAGAATCACTTGAACCTGGGAGGCAGAGGTTGCAGTGAGCCGAGACGGCACCACTGCACTCCAGCCTGGATGATAGAGCGAGACTCCGTCTCAAAAAAAAAAAAAAAAGGCCAGGCGCGGTGGCTCACGCCTATAATCCCAGCACTTTGGGAGGCCGAGATGGGTGGATCACGAGGTCAAGAGATCAAGACCATCCTGGTCAACATGGTGAAACCTTGTCTCTACTAAAAATACAAAAATTAGCTGGGCATAGTGGCGCACACCTGTAGTCCCAGCTACTCAGGAGGCTGAGGCAGGAGAATTGCTTGAACCCAGGAGGCGGAGGTTGCGGTGAGCCGAGATCGTGCCATTGCACTCCAGTCTGGGTAACAACAGCGAAACTCCGTCTCAAAAAAAAAAAAAAAAAAAAAAAAAAGAAAGATTTCCAGAAAATGGCAACAAAGATTCTTTTTCTAAGACAGAATCTTGCTCTGTCACCCAGGCTGGAGGGCAGTGGCACGATCTCAGCTCATGCAACCTCTGCCTCCTGGGTTCAAGTGATTCTTCTGCCACAGCCTCCTGAGTAGCTGGGATTACAGGTGCCAGCCATTACACCTGGCTAATTTTTATATTTTTAGTAGAGACGGGGTTTCATCATGGCCAGGCTGGTCTCCAACTCCTAACTTCAAGTGATCTGCCCACCTCAGCCTCCCAAAGTGCTGGGATTATGGGCATGAGCCACCGCACCCAGCAGGTTCTTGTTTAAATAACATCAGTGTATTGCATTAATTTCCTGACAGAAGTACAGTTTCAGGAGAAAGAAGTGCCTTTCCAAATTTGCACAAAGGCAGGGCAGCCTTGAACATGTGACAGTCTGTCCTATCTAATGGCCATCCCCTAATCCAGTCCAGAGGGCTGCTATTGAGCCAGAGGACTATGAGGATATCCCTAAGATCAGAACATCTCAGAAAGTTCCAGGGCCTGACTACTCCTGCTTCTATGGTTTGACATGAGGGCTCCAGTCATGGTGAGGACCAGGCATCACCAACTCACCTCGGCTTCCTTCAAGCGCCGTTCAAACCAGCCCTTGGCTCCATCCATGGAGTGTACCTGAGCTTGAAGTTCTTCCACTGTCTGCTGGAGAGTCTCTAGCTCCCGTGTCCGGGCCTGGGATGGGGCAGACTGTCATGGGCCAGGCAGGCAGAGGAGTAGGCACCTCACACACGCCACACACTGGCCTATCAGCAAAGCTGTGGTTTCAGAGGAGGAAGGGCATTGTCATCTACCCACCCACCTTCTCCTCCCGGATCTGCCCACGGAGTTCCTCCTCCTGACGCTTCTTGTCTTCATGCAGCTCTCGAAGCTCACGTTCATAGCGGGCACGCACCCCCAGCACCTCCTTCTCATGCCGTAGACGGACTGCTCCCAGCTCTTCCTTGTGCTGGGATTTCTCTTGCAGCGTCTCCATTGCCAGCTCATCCAGCATGGCCTTCCGCTTCTCAGCACTCTGGGGGCCAGGAGGATGGCAGTCAACTTCCTTCCATAACACCAAAAAAAGGCCTCCCATCCTCTTCCCATGCCCAAGCAACTAGCCAAACTCCATTCCCTCCCGTCTCCATTGAACTGGCTAAAGCACTCATCACCCATCCTTATGGAACTGGTCACTTCTTTCTTTCCCCTCCCACTGTCATGGATTTGGCCAAGAAACTGGTCAACCACAAACCAGTCAATTTTCCTTTCCCTCTTAAACCCACATATTTTGGCTATACCACCTCCCTGCATCCTCCCATGGCTCATCGACTGAGCCAATTCCTACCCCTCATCCTCCCCGCTAAACTTTCATGTCAGCCTACCTTCCGAGCCTCCTGTAGTTCCTGGGTCAACTGCTCCTTCTCCTGCCCTATTTCTTGAAGTTGTTCCAGCAGCCGACTATTGGCCCGTAATGACTCCTAATGCAGACACAAAGGGGATGAGTTTGATAAAGAGCACCCGGCAGGTGCTAGTCACCCAGGACCATCTATTAGACCATCTCCCTTCTCCCTGGTAAAGTTGGTATTGTGATCTCAATTTCTGGATAGGAAATATAGCAGAGACTGCTACTTGCTCCCCAGTATTCATTCTCCCTTACTTCCTTATCAATACAATGTATAGTTGGGCATACAGTTGTCTAGCAGATATTTCCCCTCCTCCCTCACCGTTAGGTGTGGCCATGTGATTTATTCCTGTATACGCTGAGTGTAATTTAGGTTATGCTCTTAAAGGAAAGGGGCACGCTCTTCCCTGCCTCCTTTCCTCCTTCCTTCCCAATAGAATGCAAACATGATGGTTGGGGAGCTTCAGCAACCGTCTTGGATGCCAAGATTAAAGTCTTGTGTTGAAGGTAGAGGAACAGCAATGGAGAAAGGACCTGGGTCACTGATAATTGGAAAGCCATCACTCCATCCCTGAACAACCTACCTGGACTTTTAACAAGAGAGAACTAAATTTCTATCTTATTTAATCCATGATTCTTTGGTTTCTATTATGGAATCAGAATGGATATCCTTTGGGAGGCTGAGGCAGGTGGATCACCTGAGGTCAGGAGTTCAAGATCACCCTGACCAACATGGTGGAACTCCATCTCTACTAAAATACAAAATTAGCAGGGCATGGTGGCAGGTGCCTGTAATCTCAGCTACTTGGGAGGCTGAGCCAGGAAAGTCACTCGAACCTGGGAGGTGGAGATTGCAGTGAACTGAGATTGCGCCACTGCACTCCAGCCTGGGCGACAGAGCAAGACTATGTCTTAAAAAAAAAAAAAAAAAAAAAAGAATGGACATCCTAACTAACTGAAGAGGCTCAGTTTCAGAGAAGTGAATGACTTTTCCCAGGACACACAGGTACTAATAAGTTAAGGAGCCAGACTGGAGCCTAGGTCCTCCTAATCCTAGTCTTCCTATTCCACCTTATTGAGGACTTCACTGGGCCATTACTTAGGGAACTAGGAGGAGACAGGCCAGAGCCAAAGGTGTTACCTGGAGCTGGGAGTTGAGGTCATCTTTCTGTCCCATAAGGTCCTCATACTCAGCCTGCCGCTGCTGCAACTCAGCTGTGAGCCCAGTGGTCTGTTCCCGGAGCATATTCAGTTCTTGGGTCTTTGCTGTTTGGATCTGGAGAAAGCAGTGGTAATGAGAAGTAGAGTAAAAAGGACCCCAGGGGCCAGGCACAGGGTATGAGCCTCCCAGATCCAGGGAAACAGGGAGGAAGGTGGGAAGAGAACCAGGAAGAGAGAGGTAATTTCAAACAGAAAAGCAATGAAGAGAATGGGTAAATGTGGTATTCCATCCAATGGAATATCACACAACAATAAGAGAACAGAGCTGTGCTGCACATGGATAAACTTACATAATGCTGCCAGAAAGAAGTCAGAGACAAAGAGCAGCTGATTCCATTTATATGCAGTTAAAGAACAAGCAAAATGAATCTTTGTTGCTAGAGATCAGAATAATAGTTACTTCTGGGGAAGCACTGACTGTGAAGTGGTAAAGGGGACCTTCTGGGGTACTAAAAGTGCTTTATTCCTTGATCTGGGTGTTGGCTATGGCAGCAGTGGGGAGAGAAAGGGAGAAAGAGAGTAAAGAGCGACAGAGGGAAGGAGAGAGAGAGAGAAAGGAAAAGAGGATTCACTGAGTGTACACTTAGGATTAATGCACTTCATGCACTTTACTAGAGAGAAGCTAGAATGCAAGAAAGGCAGATAGGCTGGGCACCATGGCTCACGCCTGTAATCCTAGCACTTCGGGAGGCCAAGGTGGGAAGATAGCTTGAATCTAGAAGTTTGAGCCAGTCTGAGCCACATAGTGAGACCCTGCCTCTACAAAATAAATTTTTTTTTTTCTTTTCTTTGAGACAGAGTTTTGCTCTGTCGCCCAGGCTGGAATGCAGTGGCGCCATCTCGGCTCACTGCTGCCTCCGCCTCCCAGGTTCAAGTGATTCTCCTATCTCAGCCTCCCAAGTAGCTTAGATTACAGGCACCACCAGACTCGGCTAATTTTTGTATTTTTTTTTTTAGACAGACTCTCGCTCTGTCACCCAGGCTGGAGTGCAGTGGCTCAATCTCAGCTTACTGCAACCTCCACCTCCCAGGCTTAAGCAATTCTCCTGCCTCAGCCTCCCGAGTAGCTGGGATTACAGGCATGCACCACCATGCCCAGCTAATTTTCTTGTATTTTTAGTAGAGATGGGGTTTTACCATTTTGGCCAGGCTGGTCTCGAACTCCTGACCTTGTGATCTGCCTGCCTTGGCCCCCCAAAGTGCTGGGATTACATGCGTGAGCCACTGCGCCTGGCCTAACTTTTGTATTTTTAGTAGAGACAGGGTTTTGCCATGTTGGCCAGGCTGGTCTCGAACTCCTGACCTCAGGTGATCTGCCCACCTCTGCCTCCCAAAGTGCTTGGATTACAGACATGAGCCACCATGCTTGGCCAGTAAAATTTTTTTTTTTTTTTTTTTTTTTTTTAGACGGAGTTTCGCTCTTGTTACCCAGGCTGGAGTGCAATGGCGCGATCTCGGCTCACCGCAACCTCCGCCTCCTGGGTTCAAGCAATTCTCCTGCCTCAGCCTCCTGAGTAGCTGGGATTACAGGCACACACCACCATGCCCAGTTAATTTTTTGTATTCTTAGTAGAGACGGGGTTTCACCATGTTGACCAGGATGGTCTCAATCTCTTGACCTCGTGATCCACTCGCCTCGGCCTCCCAAAGTGCTGGGATTACAGGCTTGAGCCACCGCGCCCGGCAATAAAATTTTTTAAAGTTAAAACAAAAACGTAGGGATGGATGGCCAGAGAGAAAAGGGCTAGACGCCAACAAAAAGGAGCAACAGAAACAAAGACAGGAGAACAGCATGGAGCCAGACCACCCTACCCTGATGTGGACCAGAAGCAGATGGAGATGGGGGAACTAGAGAGGGATCCGCAAGGGCCCCCAGGCGTCCTTTACCTGCTCCAGGGCAGCCAGGCTAGTCCTCAAGGCATTGTTCTCGGCCAAAAGCCCTTCCACTTGTTCCTGTGCATCTGCACTCTGGATGGATACCTGGTCCCACGCCCACAGCAGGTGAGAGCGGGTCCAAAACAGGGGGACAGGACCTACCTGCGGCTACGAAAGGACACACACACACACACACACACACACACACACACACACACGAAGGTTTGGGGGAAGCAGGACCCCTGGGACCTTGCCTGCCTATGTAGTACCCACTCAGGCTGCCCCATCCTGAATCCCAGCTCCCTGAGCCCACCCAGTACAGCATACCTGATCTTGTAGGGCCCGCAAAGCTGCCGCATGTTCCAGGCGTTCCCCCTGCCGCTGATCTCTCAGCTCTGCCAAGCTCTGTGGAGACCAGGGTAGCCCATTTTACATGTCAGCCTCCCCTGGTGTAGAAATAACCATACAGACTCCCTCTTTGACCACCCAACAGCATGTTCCCAGCACCTGTGGGTCTCAGATTACCCAGCCAGCAGGGATCTCAAGTTCACCCAGACTCCAGGTCACTACCCTCAGGGCCTGGGACAGAGTCAATCCCTCTATCCCAGCCTCCAAGATCTCAGACACACCTAGGCTCCTGGCCCTAGCTCCTGCGCGGTTCAAACTCACTCAGCTCCCATCCATAAAAGATCTCATACTCACCCAGTTTCAAGCTTGGGAGCCCCAGGATTCTGACACAGTCAGCCCCATGGATCTCAGATGTAGTCAGCACACAAGGATGACAGCTTCATCCAGTCTCCCAATCCCAACCACCAGGGGTTTCAGACACACTCATCTCCCATATCCCTACCTCCCAAGTGAGATCCACCCAAACTCACAGTCCCAGATCCTAGAGGTCTCAAACTCACAACCTCCTAGTTTCCAGGTCCTGGTGAACTCTCAGACTGACCCTTTCACCTGTCACTCTGCTCCCTAGTCTCTTGGGATCTTCAGACCCAGTTCCTGAGGTGGGGGGGGGATCTCAGCTTTATCCAGACTCCTGTCTCAGATCCCATGTTCCTAATTTCTAGGGACTTGAGAACCACAAGCCACCATATCCTCCATTCCAAGGAACCTCAGACTCACCTTTTCTAGAAGGAAATCCAGAGGCTTTATTCATCCAGTCCCCAGTCCTCAGGAGCCTCAGACCCATCTAGACTTTTGCTCCAGCCCCTGGAGGTCTCAGACTGACCAACTTTTTGTTCACAGCCCCCAAGGATCTCAGGACCACCTAGCCCATTATGATCCCACTTCCTAGGTGGTCTTAGGCCCAAGTCAGTGCCCAGATCCTGAGAGTCTCAAATGCACTCAGCCTTCAGCCCCAACTGTCTCACCCTTGAAAGTCATATATCTACCCAGCCATGTCCTCACTCCTTGGGAGTCGCAAATTTACTGACATCCCAGACCCCTAAAGATCAAAGTCACCCAGCGCCTAGGGAGTTCTGACTTACTGCAATGCCTGGTCCTAGGCCCCAGTGACCACAAATTTATCCAGACTGTGGTTTCGAACCTCCAGGAGCTTCAGATTTATACAAACTTACAGCACACAGCCCCCTAAGTCCTTAGCCCCCTGAGATCTTACATTCATGAATACTCCTATAACAATTCCTAGGTCTCTCCAGTTCCCATTTTCATAGCTCCTGGGGCAGGGGGGCCTAGCACCGATTTCCAACACAGGAAATCTCAGACTCCCCAACCAGCCTCCATGGACCTCAGACCTCTCCAGGCTCCCAGTCCTAGCCCCTACCCCAGGGATCTCAGAACTCAGCCCCCATCACCTGATTGGCAGCTTCAAGTTCCTGCTGCAGCTTCTGAGTTCGAGCCAACTGAGCTTTGAGATCAGCTTCCTTCCGTTGTTGTAATTCCTCAATCTTGTTCCTAGGGATGATGGGGGAGGGGGTGTGTTGGGCATGGCTTGAGGCCCAGTCTCCTAGCTCTGCCCCTGTAGTCTTCACTGGGCCCTGTCCCCATTGTCCACCAATGCCCGCAAATCTAGCAGTTACCTGCTGTCATTAAATAACGTCTCCTTTTCTGTCTGCAGACGGCAAAAACTAGGCACAGAAAGACAGATATAGATGGGTCAGTTCCATAAGTCAATTCCCCCCTTGGCCCTCAATACCCCTGGGAAAAAGAAATTTACCTTTCTTGTTTTTTTTTCAGTTTCTCCGAGAGCTGGGGAGAGGAGTACAGACAAGAGATAACACTGAGAACAATATAAAGACAAAAATAAACTTAATCAATACAGACACTTCTTATTAAGTCCTTTTTGGAAGCCAGGATTTACTCATGTTATCTTTTTTTTTTTTTTTTTTTTTTTTGAGACGGAGTTTCGCTCTTGTTACCCAGGCTGGCGTGCAATGGCGCGATCTCGCCTCACCGCAACCTCCGCCTCCTAGATTCAAGCAGTTTTCCTGCCTCAGCCTCCTGAGTAGCTGGGATAACAGGCACACGCCACCATGCCCAGCTAATTTTTTGTATTTTTAGTAGAGACGGGGTTTCACCATGTTGACCAGGATGGTCTCGATCTCTCGACCTCGTGATCCACCCGCCTCGGCCTCCCAAAGTGCTGGGATTACAGGCTTGAGCCACCACGCCCGGCTTACTCATGTTATCTTGTGGAATCCTCGAAGTAGCCGTGAGAAGTGAGTAGTACCAGTTTTACAAATGAGGAAACTGAATCTCAGAAAGATTAAGTAATTTGGTTGCCTAGCTGGTCAGCAACAACAATATTATCTCCAGCCAGATCCTTCAGGCTCCAAAGTCTAGTATTTATGCTCCCAAAATAGTGGCCAATGGCCATGTTATAGAATGGCTAGGCTGGGAGGCCTGGAAAGTGGGATCATGACTGGCTGCCTCATCACTGGGTCTCCAGGTCCTAAGATAAGAGCCAGGAGTCTGTAAATGCTTCCATGAATGAACGAGTTAAGTGAATGGGCAAAGTTGAGAGGAGATGGATGGGATGAAACTGTCATGCACAAGATATAGTAGGACCACATTAGCCCATTCCATACTGAAAGTAACTTTGAGACACAGGTGTGAGTCTCTCCATTTCACAAATGATGAAACTGAGGTTTTGATGGGGTACAATGCCCCTTCTGCCCTCAAAAGTCAGATTGAGAGTGGAATGGGAAAGAGTCCAGCAGATTGGGAATAGAATGGGAAAGAGCCAAGCAGCCCCACCTTAGCAAGTTCTTCCTGCAGCCTGGATGTTTCGGCCTGCTTTGAGCTCTGCAGGGAAGGATGAGGAATGGGAGTGTTGTTGTCAGCAAGGACAGAGGAGAGGTCTTCCCCTGCCCTCCTGCTTCCCTTACCCCATCAGCCCACAAGATGGTGATGTCACAGACATCTCTGTGGGACCATAGGCAGAGGCAGAACATCTGCCTTGCCTCTGGCATCCCAGCTCCAACAGACCCAGATTCACCTCTAAGCCTTGCAGCTGCTCCCAGAGCAATCTCTTCTCCTCTTTCTCCATTTCCCATTTCAGCTCCACCTCTGCCAGTGGCATGGGGGCTGGGATGGTGGGGGCAGGGCCCCCTGGGGAGTCCCCCTGGCCCTCACTGACAGCTGAGGACTTCCCGGCTTCTTTCCCATAGCGTTCCTGCAGGGCTGGTAAGTAGAATAGGAATACATGATGGATGAGGTGGTCTCTGAAGTCCCTTGCCATGCCTCGAATAGAGGGAGAACTGGCATTCAACCCCTCAGGTGGCAGAGACCCTGTGCCAAGTGACCACATGCCTAAAAGACGAAGGTTCAGCCCTAGCCACAATTCTTACAATTTTTTTCTTTTTTTTTGACAGGGACTTGCTCTGTCACCCAGGCTGGAGTGCAGTAGAGTGATCATGGTTCACTGTAGCCTTGACCTCCTGGGCTCAAGTGATTCTCCCACATCACCCTCCCAAGTAGCTGGGACCACAGGTATGTGCCACCACACTGGGCTAATTGTTTTATTGTTTTGTAGAGACAAGGTCTCGCTACATTGCTGAGGCTGGTCTTGAACTCCTGAGCTCAAGCAATCCTCCCGCCTCAGCCTCCCCCAAAAAATCTTTTTCCCTAGACAGTCTTGCTCTGTTGTCCAGGCTGGTGTGCAGTGGTGCAATCATAGCTCACTGCAGCCTCCAACTCCTGGGCTCAAGCGATCCTTCCATCTCAGCCTCCCAAGTAGCTGGGACTACAAGTGCACACCACCATGCCCGGCTGATTTTTAAATTTTATTACTTGTTGGGCCGGGCGCGGTGGCTCAAGCCTGTAATCCCAGCACTTTGGGAGGCCGAGGCGGGTGGATCACGAGGTCAAGAGATCGAGACCATCCTGGTCAACATGGTGAAACCCTGTCTCTACTAAAAATACAAAAAACTAGCTGGGCGTGGTGGCGCGTGCCTGTAATCCCAGCTACTTAGGAGGCTGAGGCAGGAGAATTGCCTGAGCCCAGGAGGCGGAGGTTGCGGTGAGCCGAGATCGTGCCATTGCACTCCAGCCTGGGTAACAAGAGCGAAACTCCGTCTCAAAAAAAAAAAAAAAAAAAAAAAAAAAATTTATTACTTGTTTATTTATTTATGAGACAGAGTCTCCCTCGGTCACCTAGGCTGCAGTACAGTGGTGCAAACTCTGCTCACTGCAACCTCTGCTTCCTGGGTTCAAGCAAGTCTCCTGCCTCAGCTTCCCAAGTAGCTGGAATCATAGGCATGTGCCACCACACCTGGCTAATTATTCTATTTTTAATAGAAACAGGGTTTCACCATGTTGGCTGGGCTGGTCTTAAACTCCTGACCTCAGGTGATCTGCCTACCTCAGTCTCTCAAAGTGCTAGGATTACAGGTATGAGCCACCACGCCTGGCCTAATTTTTTAATTTTTATTATTTTTTTGAGATGGAGTTTTACTCTTGTTGCCCAGACTGGAGTGCAATGGCATGATCTTGGCTCACTGCAACCTCTGCCTCCCAGGTTTAAGCGATTCTCCTGCCTCAGCCTCTAGAGTAGTTGGGATTACAGGCATGCGCCACCATGCCCGAATACTTTTTTATTTTTAGTAGAGACAGGATTTCTCCATGTTGGTTAGGCTGGTCTCAAACGACCAACCTCTGGTGATCCGACCGCCTCAGCCTCCCAAAGTGCTGGGATTACAGGTGTGAGTCACTGGGCCCAGTCAATTTTTTTATTTTTAGTACAGATAAGGTCCTGCTATATTGCCCAGACTGGTCTTGAACTCCTAGCCTTGAGATCCTTCTGCCTTGGCCTCACAGAGTGCTGGGATTACAGGCATGAGCCACTGTGCTCAGCCTCTTACAAATCTTTCAAGCCCTACCAACCACTAAGATCCTGTTTACTATTAAATTAGCTCAAGCTGGATTCATAAACCCCATTCTCAATCCTTCAAGCGCCACCCATAATCTTTTAAGACCATGTCCACCATGTGCCACCCTCGACGTACAGCTGAATCCCTCCTAGAGCCTCCCAATTCCCACCCACATTCTATTAAGTCTCCCTCCTGGTCATGGAATCAGCTCCTACCACCACCGAAGTCCCAGCTGCTCTCGAAAGGTCCACACACCACATGCTCCCACACGCTATCAAGCTTTCTTTCAGCTTTCATCCCAAACCCCACTTATAACCTGGGCTCAGAATTTTCCCAACACTCTATTCACTTTCTCCACTTAGCAAATATCTCCTTCTTGACATTCAAGCTGCTAATCTGTAACATTTGCTAGGTAGCAGAAAGTTATCTAATGCAGAATGATACCACCTTTTATCTCTACTACAATCTTCCAGGTGACAAGACATCACTACATGCACTATGTAGATGACAAGACGTTGGCTCAGAGAGGCAAAATGGCTTGTCCGAAGCCACAAAGTGCATGGGCCAACCATAACTCTGAAGCTCTTATCCCTACCCTGAGAGGATGACAGCTTTCCTTGCCCTACTCAAGCCCCAGGGTCTCCGCATCCCCAGGAGGGCCTCTATGTACCTGCCACATTCTTCTGCAAGGCTGTGTTTTCAGCCTGTAACCTCAGCAGCTCCCCATCCACAATGGGCCCAGCTTGGGCAACCCCTGCTCCTGCAGCCCCCTCCTTCAGTTGCTGGTTCTCTCGCTCCAGCTGTTCCATCTGGCTGCAGAGCTGAACAGAGGAAGAAAAGGGCAAAAAAGCAGAGAATCAGAACGGTATTTGCTGAAACCTACATAGCATTTGTCCATGCACTTTACAATTCACTTAATTCCCATCATGACCCTATGATGTAGGTGCCCTCCCACTTTACAAATAAGGACATTGGGGCACAGAGATGTTAAACAATTTCAAATTCACACATCTTTTTTTGTTTTTGAGACAGAGTCTTGCTCTGTCACCCAGGCTGGAGTGCAGTGGTGCCATCCTGGCTCGCTGCAACCTTTGCCTCCCGGGTTCAAGCGATTCTCTTGCCTTAGCCTCCCTAGTAGCTGGGACTACAGACCCTTGCCACCACATCCGGCTAATTTTTGTATTTTTTTAGTAGATACGGGGTTTCACCATGTTAGACAGGACAGTTTCAATCTCCTAACCTCATAATCTGCCCGCCTCAGCCTCCCAAAGTCCTGGGATTACAGGCGTGAGCCACAGTGCTTGGTCCACACCCCTTTTAAGTGGCAGAGTTAGAGGATACCAAGAGCATACCAAGCATAAGGACACCAAGAACAATTTTCCCCTTCCTACTTCCAACCTCAGAGATGCAATCCAAGACCTCAGGCTCCTCTGGAAGTTATCAGTGCTACAGACAGCCTTACTGCCACCCCTCTTCTGTGGAGGGCTCTGTGTCCTGGATCCTAGGTCTAGAGACAGCTCCCTCTCATCCTAGGCACCACAAAGAGCTTGCAGGGCATTTCCAGGGCCAACAACTGATGACAGCTCCTGCATTGCCAGCCGTTAGCCTTGGAGAGGCATACAATGCCAATAAAACTAAGCCAGCCCCTGCCCAACTCCTGCTAAAGTATACTTCTCAAAGTAGTCCTGAAAAAAATCCCTTGTCCTCCTTTCAGATGAGAATACCAAGGCCTACAGAGAATTTTTATTTTATTGTCTGCAATATTTTCTTTTTTTGAGATGGAGTCTTGCTCTGTCACCCAGGCTGGAGTACAGTGGTGTGATTTCAGCTCACTGCAACCTCCACCTCCTGGGTTCAAGCGATTCTCCTGCCTCAGCCTCCTGAGTAGCTGGGACTAGAGGCATGCGCCACCCTGCCTGGCTAATTTTTGTATTCTTAGTAGAGACGAGGTTTCACCATGTTGGCCAAGCTGGTCTTGAACTCCTGACCTCAGGTGATCCACCTGCCTTGGCCTCCCAAAGTGCTGGGATTACAGGTGTGAGCCACCACGCCCGGCCTGCCTGCAATATTTTCTACCCAGAACACCCATTCTTTTATCCACGTATTCACATAACTGGGTTCTTTGCATTCTTCAGTGCTCTGCTCAGATGTTGCCTTTAAAGTAGTATCCCTCAACACAGAAAATTCCAGTACTCTCTGTCACAGCACTCTGTTCATTTCTTTCTTACCTAGTACTAATCACAATTTTCTTTTGTAACGTAGGGTTATAAGCACAGATTCTGAAACCAAACTGCTTGAATGTGAATCTCTACTCTGTCATTTACCAGCTGTGTGACAAATTACTTAATCTCCATGGAACTCAGTTTTCCTCGTCTGTCAAATAGGGACACTAATAATATCTCATAGGCTTGTTTCAAAGATTAAATGAGTGAATCATGTAGAGTACTTCAAACAGGACTCGGCACACAGAACACCATATAAATGTCAGCTATCACTACTAGTATTATTTGTTTACTGTTATCTTTCTCCCCATCCCACCTCCAGAATGTAAGCTATCCAAGAGTGGAGATCATTCTGTGCTGCTTACAACTGGATTTCTAGAACATAGAGCATGTGGTGGGTACTCAGTAACTATTTGTTGAAGGAACAATTGAGCTGAAATGTCGTGGTGAATAAGGGGTGGTGGCAGGTTTAACATAGGTCTCTCTGCGAGCACTTCCAGTTCCTGGGAGGAGTGGGAGGAGGAAGGGGAGTATGTAGGAAGTCCCTACAACTGCTCCAGTGCCAGCCCAGGACAGGTGCAGGGAAACAAGCTGTATTTATGGAAGAATATCTGCCCCTGCCTCATTCTGCAAGAATCATGATACCATGGAGGCTGGAGGCAGGAAGCAGTGAGGAGTCAGTTGGTGAGACCAGCAGTTATGTGAATACTAGGGGCTCTGAACTAGGGGCAAGACAGGGGGCACTGGAATATATTATGTAAAGGAGTGATGTCATAACATCTGCTGGTCAGAATAGCCTCTGTGGTGTGAACTAAGTAGAAGAAACTAGAAGTGAAGAGACCAGGGAGGCAGCTGTAGAAACAGCAGATAAGAGGTGGTAGAGGCTAAAGCAGAGGAGGGCCACAAGGTGGATATAAAACTTTTAAAAAGTATGCCAGGCGCGGTGGCTCATGCCTGTAATCTCAACACTTTGGGAGGCTGAGGCGGGCAGATCACCTGAGGTCAGGAGTTTGAGACCAGCCTGGCCAACATAATGAAACTCTGTCTCTACTAAAAATTATAAAAATTAGCTGGGCATGGTGGTATGCGCCTGTAATCCCAGGTACTCGGGAGGCTGAGGCAGGAGAATCACTTGAACCTGGGAGGCAGAGGTTGCAGTGAGCTGAGATCAGGCCATTGTACTCCAGCCTGGGTAACACAATGAGACTCTGTCTCATTTAAAAAAAAAAAAAAAAAGCATGGATAGGTGCAAAAAATAAATCCTCTTTTGCAACCCAGAATTCATTGTTCAGCATGAATTTTGATATCTATAAGAAGGGATATTGTTAAAAAAAAAAAAAAAAAAAAAAAAAAAAAAAACATGGACTGTGCCACACACCAAGTGATCCATCCAAAAACAAGGACTGCAGCCTAAATTTCAAATACCAGAGACTGAAATTTTCAGCCTTGCTAAGGGAACACCTTGATGTTTGAACCTCTGTGTTTTGTACAGGGGATTCTCTGAACTAGTTTGTTGTGGTTATAAAACAATTAGCAAAATAGCCTACATTTGTATTTGCTTTCTATTCCATACTTCTGTACCACATTGTTTTCTCTCAAAATCCATTCCTTTAAAAAATAAATGTTGCAGAAAAAAAAAAAACTTTTAAAAAGTCAAATATTTTAGAGGGAAGATGAATTAATAGAAGGATAATATTATAGCTAATGCTTCCCTAGCTGATACTATGTGCAAGGCTCTGTTCTAAGTGATTTACATACATTTATTCATTTAGTCCTCACAAAATCCCTGTGAGGAGGCAGGTACTGTTATTATCATGACTTCTATTTGATATTTGGGAACCAAGAACCAGGCAAGTTAAGTGTCTTGCTCAAGATTACAGTTAGTAAAACATAGAGCCAAGATTTTAATCTAGGCCTTCTGGTTCCAGAGTCCTGCTGGTAACCACTACTTGCTCAAGTGCCTCTCCTGGTATTGTACCTGCTTAAAGGTTATTTTCAGATTTTGTTTTTTTTTTTTGAGACAGAGTCTTACTCTGTCGCCAGGCCGGAGTGTAGTGGCATGATCTCGGCTCACTGCAACCTCTGCCTCCTGGGTTCAAGCGATTCTCCTGCCTCAGCTTCCTGAGTAGTCGGGACTACAGGCGTGCACCACCATGCCCAGCTGATTTTTGTATTTTTAATAGAGATAGGGTTTCACCATGTTGGCCAGGACGGTCTTGATATCTTGACCTTGTGATCTGCCCGCCTCAGCCTCCCAGACTGCTGGGATTAATACAGGCATGAGCCACTACGCCCAGCCTCGGTTTTGTATTTTTAAGGTCATAGGCACTATATTCTCAGATGGAGCCTTAGAAATACCATTTTTGCTGCCATGAGACTTTTTTCCTTAAAATATACTAAAAACATAGACTTTTTTTTGAGATGAAGTCTCACTCTGTTCCCCAAGCAGGAGTGCAGTGGTGCTATCTCAGTTCACTGCAACCTACACCTCCCAGGTTCATGCGATTCTCCTGCTTTAGCCTTCCGAGTAGCTGGGATTACAGGCACATGCCACCATGCCTGGAGAATTTTAATTTTTTTATTTTTTAGTAGAGACGGAGTTTCACTATGTTAGCCAGGCTGGTCTTGAACTCCTGACCTTGTGATTTGCCCGCCTCAGCCTCCCAAAGTACTGGGATTACAGACATGAGCCACCACGCCTGGCCAACATAAACAAGTATTAACTGTTTACAGAAGATAGATGAGGGAACAAAAGACAATGCTTCCAACTGCCCAGTAGATTTAGAAACAGCCAGGACACTAAAATCAGTGGAGAGACATAATTAGTAGATCCAGGATGAATTATCTGGAAGAGGTAGAACCTCAGGCTTATGTCAGATGAAGAAAAGGGAAGAAGCTCGAACACTTTTCCATTCTATATTAAGCATAAGAACTTTACCTAACCCTTCCCCCTCCCCCCGCCCCACCAAATAGCTTGGAGCTCCATAGCATCAACCCCACGTTATACACATGGAGACTTGAAGCTCAAATAAAAGGAGTGACTTAGCCAGGAACCAGCTGACCTCAGGGCTCAAAGCCTTCTAATCCCAGCACAGTGAGTGGCTCCATCTTTCAAATTACTGCCCCCCAGCAGCAATCCAGGACCTGTTTCAGCACCACGGACAGTGCTCCAGGGCCAGACCCTGTCCAATCACTCTGCTGATGTTAGGTTTCAGCCCAGATGGACCCTACCCCTCATTTCCCCGTTGACTATCCCAGACACCAGCACCTTGCTGAACTCGGCCATTAGCGTGCTGTTCTGCAAACGGAAGTCCTCCTCCTGGCTGTGCAGCTTTGCCTGCAGCATCTCATTTTCACTCAGCAGTACCTCAACTTCCTGCAGTGGCAGACAAGGGCCAGGACTCCAGCAAGGGCAGGAAGGATGGGGAGGTAGGGCAAAGAAACAGAGAGAGGGAGAAAATGACATGGGTAGGGGAGGATATAGGGTACAGAGAATGAGGTGAGATAGGAGAGAGAGACACAGGGAGGGACAAAATGAGAGACAGGATGGAGAGAAAAAGACATGGGAAGGTAGAGAAAAGGGAGTACAGGGAGGAAGAGAGCAGAGGAAAAGACGAGAAGATAATGATAGGGGAGCGAGGAGGTAGAGATGGGGAAACGGGGGGAGTGATAGAAAAGGGGAGAGGGATTGGGAGGAAGAGAGTGAAAAAGATGGAGAGAGGAACAAACAGAAATCAATAGGGAAAAAACAGAACAGGGAGAAGAGAAGGAGGGGTCAAGGAAATAAATGAGTTAGGAAGAGAGAGGAATGGTGGGGGAGAAACAAAGAGTCAGAGAGAGAAAGCAGAAAAAAGAGAAATCACAGAGACAGATGGGGGAGAGAGAAAGAAGATTGGGAAGAGAAACGAGTGAGAGAGACAGGAACAAGAAGACAGAGACAGAGACAGAAAGAGACGCAGAGAAAAGGATAGCGAGAGAAAGAGAAGGAAAGAGACAGAGTTAGAGACAAATATAGGGAAACACGGACAGATACAGCAACACATGGCAGTGAGGTAGCAGCAGACATAAGGGCACACAGAGGAAGAAAGGCCAGTACAAGAAAAGCTCAGCATATACAGATAGCCCACCAAGACAGAGTCTCCCAGTCACACTCACCCACCAGGGATCCCCTTACCTGAGCTTTCTTGCTCTTGCTCAGTGCCTAAAGTGGGGGTGGGTGGGAAGAGAGCTAAAGTGAACAGAGACGGACTGCCTTACTAGGGTATGGAGACAATCGTGCCAAGCGTTTTGGGAGGACAATAGAGGTTGCAGGATGGGAGCATCTTCAATCACAGAACATGTGTGACAATTTGGAGCCCAAAGGAATGATAGAATGAGTGTGTGAGTGAGTGAATGAATGCAAGTCCTGCCCTGGGGCCCCAGTACACAGAAATCATCCTTTCTTGGAAGCTCTTGAGGCTGGTAGGGGGATGGGGGAGATGGTATTTAACCATTTGCGGGCTGGATCTCCAGGCTCAGAAACTGTGGCTTCATTGCTACATCTGTCCATACTTGTTTCTGTGGGTCTCTCCCACACAGTGTGGAAACTGTCACTCCCCTGCTAGGCAGCCAAGAGCATTGCCAGCTTAGGGGAATCAGCATCCTACCAAAGAGAAGCACAGCTTCCTGACTGCCAGATTTTCTGCATTCTGTATTCGTTCATTTAACAAATATTTATTGAGCACATATTATGTGTTAACATTGTGCTAGGTATGGGGACAGAGCAGCGACAAAGGAGAACCTTGAATGTCTTGAGGGGCCACAATAGGTTATATTCTATCTCATCTCTCATCTTTAGAGTATCTGAGAGGTGAGTTTGCTGTCACTTTCTCAACTGGACCAGGACAGGGATGGGAAATAGGAGCACAAGCTAGGAGTGTGAGTGGAGGACAGGAGGCAGATTCGAGGCAGATTTACTGATAGATTTGAATATTTAATTAAAAGTCAGTGAATGAGAATGAGTAACTGAAATTAGAAATGAATTAAAAGTAAATTAAAATTAATCAATAAATTAAGCAGGATTAGACGAAATTAGCAAACTAAAGAGAATTCCATGAGATTTCTTTAAATGACTACATGAAAACAGCATGCAAAATTAGGTCTGGTTCACTGCAGCTGCTCACTGAAGGGATGAATGAGTCAGATAGGTAGAGCAAGGGTGGACGGGTAGGTGGATGGGTGGGTGGAGGGAGGTACCTTCTGAGCTTTGCTGAACTCCTTATCCAAGTAGGCGACCTTCTGTCGAAGACTGGCAAGTTCTGGTGTCGGGAAAGCAGGGTATCTCAGCCTCAGCCAGTGGCAAGCAACTGAAAGGGCTTCCTGCCAGGTCTCTGAGGAAAAACCTCAGACTCCATGCCCCAAAGCCACCCCCATCTAATAAGGCCCTCTTGGCTCACCAACACCATTCTTGCGTAGTTCATCTGAAAGCTGGTAGTTGTTTGTCCGGAGTTCTAGGAGCTGAGCCTTTGCGGGAAGCAGGAAGGGAAAAGACTTGGTCAGGAAAGCACCCCTACCCCTACCATGAGGGAACCAAGCTCCTAAGTTCCCCAGACCTTACGCCTTCCATATGTCTCTTTAGGTATTCCTTAAGACCTGTATGTGCTGTACCCAAAGTGAGCTTCCAGGCCCTCAGACCCTGGCTCACCTTTTCCACCTCCACTTATAACCCCAGCCAGGCTCCCATCTCCATCTCACACTACAATCCACACTGCACTCGATCCTAGAGCACTGCCCCAGTTAGGTTCTTGCTTATGTGAGTTCCCTGGCTCTCCATGCCCACAGGATAAAGTTCCTCCTCCTCATCCTGGCTGACCTCTCCACACACTGAACACACACTATCAGGGGGGTTGTCCATCTTTCTGGCCAGACTTGGAAGCCCCTGAAGGCAGCGGGTAGAAGCCTGTCTTCTTCCCTCTTTCCCAAGGGAAGAGGGTCTAGTATTCTGTCCAACTTTCATTGACTCAGGGGACTTTCCAGGGTCCCCCCACCCCGACTTCCAAGTCTCTCAAAATACATCCAGGCCCCCTTCAAGAATTAAGGGAGAGCTGGGTGCGGTGGCTCACGCCTGTAATCCCAGCACTTTGAGAGGCCAAGGTGGGCGGATCACGAGATCAGGAGTTCAAGACCAGACTAGCCAATATGGTGAAACCCTGTCTCTACTAAAAATATAAAAAATTAGCCAGGTGTGGTAGCACACACCTGTAGTTCCAGCTACTTGGGAAGCTGAGGCAGGAGAATCGCCTGAACCCAGGAGGCAGAGGTTGCAGTGAGCTGAGATTGCACCACTACACTCCAGCCTGGGTAACAGAGACTCCGTCTCAAAAAAAAAAAAAAAAAAAGAATTAAGGGAAAGTGCTGGGCACAGTGGCTCACACCTGTAATCTCAGCACTTTTGGAGGCCGAAGTGGGCAGACCACTTGAAGTCAGGAGTCCAAGACCATCCTGGCCAACATGGTGAAACCCTGTCTCTACTAAAAAATACAAATAAATTAGCCGGGCATGGTGATACGCGCCTGTAATCCCAGCTACTTGGGAGGCTGAGATAGTAGAATTGCTTGAATCTGGGAAGTGGAAGTTGCAGTGAGCTGAGATCATGCCACTGCACTCCAGCCTGGGTGACAAAGCGAGACTCTGTCTCAAAAAAAAAAATAATAATAATAATAATAATTAAGGGAAAGTGAAGTATGGGCCATTCCAAACAGCATCCTCTTCCCTATCACCCCTGTAGGGCCCTGAGGCTGGTTCTACCCAGCAAGGCTGGTTCCTTCCCGATAAGGAACTCACCATTCCTTCCCCTACCAGGATTTTTCCCTCCCTGCCACGGCACCAGCCTCCACTCCCTATCCTCTGGTAGTCTGCTCAAGGTCAGAGGCGTTGGTCTTCATAGAATCTTTTCTGCTCCTGTCCTCCTGAGGACCCAGTGATCTGTCTCTCCAAGTCCTGGTCCAATTGGAATATCCTTTGTATCCCTTGAGACTCCTTTCCCAACAAAGCCTAGTAGTTCTCCCTAATACATGGCCCAGTGCGATCAATGTTCCTCATTCAAGGGTACCCCCACTCCCCTCAAGAGCTCCCCAGTCATGATCCAACAGGAATGGCCCTACACCCTTCAGAGTACACCTCTACAAGGTCTTGGGTGGGCCAGCTGGATGACTCTAAGAATGACTTAGAATCCCCTTCAGATGACAGTGGTCTTCCCTATTCATGGGCCAATCAACTCACCCTTCCATTCTCAGTGTCCCTCACACAGGAGAGCAGGTTTCCCTCATTCAAGGACCAATGGGATTACCTGTCCTCCCTCAGAGTTCCTCCCCTCCCCACGCAGGACCCTGTTCAGAGTCCCCCAGTAGGGAACCCTCTTGACAAGGGCCCATTTATAGTGCAATGCTATGGCCTTTCATTGCATCTCAGAGTCACCTCAAAAGAATCAAGTGGAGGTACCTCCCGAAAGCCCAGTGATCTCCCCTCCTTGTAGTACAAGGTATCACTCTTTTACCTCCTCTAGTCCTTCCTCCAATTAATGGGATTAATGGTATTACCCATTCATGGACTTCTTCACCCCAGGCCTAATGGGATCACCCTTAATCATCCAATGGTGCCGCCCCTCTTAAGATGCACTACCAACCACCAATGGCATAGGATCTCCACCTCCCAGGAACAATGACAACAACTGGGGTCTTTCCTCAACCCCCGGGTACAGTGGTATCACCCAAAAACTTACCACCTCCCACCCACTAATGGTTCTGCCCTCTCAAGGGCTCCCCCCACCATGACGCAAACGACCCAATACCCGCTTCCTTCCTCTCCAGACAAAATGGTTTCGCCTTCTCAGGATCTCCTTCCCTCAAAGCCCATTATCATCACACGCCGACGGTGTCCCCTGCACGAGCCCAAAGTCTCGTCCCCTACATGTCTGAGTAAGGTACCGCCTACTCAAGGGCGCTCTCCCCCGCCCACAATGCTAACAGAGTCCAACCTTCAAAGCCCCAGAATATCTCGGAATCCAATAGTCTCACCACTCCGAGCCTCAGTTTACCTTCTCCAGACCCACCCCCTAAACTCAGAGTCCATCCCAACCAACCCCTTCTCAGAGCTGGTGGCACGACCTCTCTCTACCCCGCCCTCGGTCGCCTAGCCGGGTGGTCTTTCCCACCGCGAGCAGCACCTGCATCCGCTGAAACTCCTCCTCAGACAGAGCTTGCGCCATGTTCCTCCCCCCACCCCCCCGCCAGCTTTCTGCGCAGACGCAGCTCGTGCCTCCTGTCAGAATTAAGGTCGGACCAAACCACTGGCCAGGAATGGAGGGGGTAGAACGTAAATCCAAAGGACAGCATTTTGGAGACGCAGAGAAAAGAACGAAACCGACGGGTCAGGTGAATTGTAATATAACGTTATACCAGAATGTAGGTCATCTGATTTGCTTTTGGACTCTTCTAGGCCACCCATTGTGGTACGACATTATGACATCCCCGTCTCATGAGTGGACTCGTCGCTAGGGAAGTCTTTGCCGACAGAAAATAACCCTTCCGCGTTACTCCTTTAATGAGAATGGGTAACTTAATAACCATAGAAATGAAAGCGGAAGCTTCGCTCTGGTCTTGTTCCCGCCCTCCTCAGGGCGACCCCAAAGGGGAATCCCACCTCTTGTAAAGCCTTTGGCTTTTTTAAGATTCGACAGTGATTTTCTTATCATGATGCTGTACGTCACATTAGGTAAAGGACTTAGCCACCAATAAATTAAAAATAGCGGAGTGGAAAGAATGACAGTGAATCAAATGAAAAAGCTTCATTAAAACAAAACAAAAACAAACCAGGGTGGTGAAACATCAGGATCATTCAATTAAGTATTAGAACCCACTGTAATCCTCACCGATCTGAGAATAAGAAATGGTATCTCAGTGTAGCTAGCCAAGGCCGGGCGCGGTGGCTCACGCCTGTAATCCTAGCCCTTTGGAGTCCGAGGCTAGGCGGATCACTTGAGGTCTAGGAGTTCGATATCAGCCTGGCCAACAAGGCGAAACCCTATTTCCACTAAAAATACAAAAATTAGCCGGGCGTGGTGGCGGGCGCCTGTAATCCCAGCTACTCCGAAGGCTGAGACAGGAAAATTGCTTCAACCTGCCAGGCGGAGGTTGCAGTGAGGTGAGATCGCGCCACTACACTCCAGCCAGGGGGTAGAGCGAGAGTCTGTCTACACACACACGCACACAAAGCAGCAGCCAGGACTCCTTTCTTGATTTAATTAACTTTATTAAAAGATAACACTATCAATCTGTCTATATGTATAAATGCACGAATTTTAAGGGTACAATTTAGTGAGCTTTGACTAACGTATACAACCTCGTAACCACCATCACAAGCAAGATAGGGAGCATTGGTTCCTTTGTACCCTATCCCAAACCCCACCCCCTACCACAGGTAACCAGTGATTGGCTTCCTGTTACCTGGATTATATTTGTCTTGCAGTTTCATGCAAATAGAATGAGAGAGGATGTATTCTTTTCTGTCTGGCTTTTTTTCACTCAGCATAATGCTTTTGATATTCATCCAAGTTGTTTTGTGTATAGTTTTTTTTTTTAATTTTTATCGATGAGTAAAATTCCATAGTATGAGCCGAGCAGGCTCAGTGGCTCACGCCTATAATCCCAGCACTTTAGGAGGCCGAGACAGGTTGGTCACCTGAGGTCAGGAGTTCAAGACCAGCCTGGCCAGCGTAGTGAAACCACATCTCTACTAAAAATACAAAAATTAGCCAGGAGTGGTGGTACACGCCTGTAATCCCAGCTACTCGGGAGTCTGAGGCAGGAGAATCGCTTGAATTCTGACAGTGGAGGTTGCCGTGAGCCGAGATTCCCCACTGCACTCCAGCCTGAGTGACAGAGGGAAAACTCTGTTTCAAAAACCAAAACAAAACAAATTCAGCGTATGAATAGACCACAATTTGTTTATCCATTCTCTTTTCTTTTCTTTTCTTTTTTTGAAATGGAGTTTCAGTCTTGTTGCCCAGGCTGGAGTGCAATAGTGCAATCTCGGCTCACCGCAACCTCCGCCTCCCACGTTCAAGTGATTCTCCTGCCTCTGCCTCCCGAGTAGCTGGGATTACAGGTATGCACCACCATGCCTGACTATTGTTGTATTTTTAGTAGAGACAGGGTTTCTCCATGTTGGTCAGGCTGGTCTCAAACTCCTGATCTCAGGTGATTTGCCCTCCTCAGCTTCCCAAAGTGCTGGGATTACAGGCGTGAGCCACCGCACGGGGCCCAAGAACCATTTTAATATATGTTCTTAATTTATTTTTTAATTTAACTTAATTTATTTTTTATTTTTATTTTTATTTATTTATTTATTTATTTTGAGACGGAGTTTCGCTCTTGTTACCCAGGCTGGAGTGCAATGGCGCGATCTTGGCTCACCGCAACCTCCGCCTCCCGGGCTCAGGCAATTCTCCTGCCTCAGCCTCCTGAGTAGCTGGGATTACAGGCACGCGCCACCATGCCCAGCTAATTTTTTGTATTTTTAGTAGAGACGGGGTTTCACCACGTTGACCAGGATGGTCTCGATCTCTCGACCTCGTGATCCACCCGCCTCGGCCTCCCAAAGTGCTGGGATTACAGGCGTGAGCCACCGCGCCCGGCCCCTTAATTTATTTTTTAGATAGAGTCTCCCTCTGTCACCCAGGCTTGAGTGCAGTGACATGATCTCAGTTTACTGCAAACTCCGCCTCCCAGATTCAAAAGATAGTCCTGCCTCAGCCACCCACGTAGCTGGGATTACAGGTGCCAGCCACCAAGCCCAGCTAATTTTTGTATTTTTAGTAGAGACGGGGTTTCACCATGTTGGACAGGTTGGTCTCACACTCCTGACTTCAAGTGATCCTCCCACCTCCAACTCTCAAAGGACTGGGATTACAGGCATGAGCCACTGCACCTGGCCTCTTTGTATATTAGGAATATTAACAACTTTTTTGAGGGGGAGGGATGGAGTTTCATTCTTGTTGCCTAGGCTGGAGTGCAATGGCGCGATCTTGGCTCACTGCAACCTCTGCCTCCCGGATTCAGCTACTCAGTTCTGAGTAGCTGGGATTACAGGCACGCACCACCATGCCCAGCTAACTTTTGTATTTTTAGTAGAAACGGGGTTTCACCATGTTGGCCAGCTTGATCTCGAACTCCTGACCTCAGGCCTCAGGTGATCCATCTGCCCGGGCATCCTAAAGTGCTGGGATTAAAGACATGAGCCATCTCACCCGGACTTTTTTTTTTTTTTGAGGCAGGGTCTCACTCTGTCATCCAGGCTGGAGTGCAGTGATGTGATCTTGGCTCACGTCAGCCTCAACCTTCTGGGCTCAAGCAATCCTCCCACCTCAGCCTCCTGAGTAGCTGGGACTACAGGCACAGGCTACCATCCTGGAAAAAAAAAATTTTTTTTTTAATGTTTTGTAGAGATGAGGTCTCACTATGTTGCCCAGGCTGGTCTCAAACTCCTGGGCTCAAGTGATGCATCCACATCTGCCTTCCAAAGTGCTAGGATTTCAGGGGTGAGCCACCACACCTGGCCTACATTTGTTTTGTGTGTGTGTGTGTGTTTGTGTGTGTATGTGTGTCTGTTTGAGATGGAGTCTCACAACGTTGCCCAATCGGAAGTGCAGCGGTATGATCTCAGCTCACCGCCACCGCCACCTCCACCTCCAGAGTTCAAGCAAGTCTCCTACCTCAGCCTCCCGAGTTGCTGGGATTACAGGCACCTGCCACCACACCTGGCTAATTTTTGTATTTTTGGTAGAGATAGGTTTTGCCATGTTGGCCAGGCTGGTCTCAAACTCTTGGGCGCAAGTGATCTGACTGCCTTGTCCTCCTTAAGTGCTAGGATTATAGGCGTAAGCCACCGTGCCTGGCCGTTGCCTACATTTGTAATATATAAATTATGTTGTTGGCTGGACGCGGTGGCTAACACCTATAATCCCAGCACATTGGGCCGCCGAGGTAGGCTGATCATGAGGTCAGGAGTTCAAGACCAGCCTGGCCAACAGCATGAAACCCTGTCTCTACTAAAAATACAAAAATTAGCCTGGCGTGGTGGCACACGCCTGTAGTTCCAGCTACTCGGGAGGCTGAGACAGGACAATTGCTTGAACCCAGGAGGCAGAGGTTGCAGTGGGCCGAGATTGTGTCACTGCACTCCTCGGCAACAGAGTGAGACTTCTCAAAAAAAAAAAATAAATAATAAAATAAATTATGTTGTCACAGTCTCCATTCCATACTTGATCCCCTGACCTCCTGGTTGTATTTTTAAATGTTTCATACATTAGCAAACTTTTTTTTTTTTTTTTGAGACAGAGTCTCACTCTGTCACCCAGGCTGGAGTGCAATGGCACGATCTCGGCTCACTGCAACCTCTGCCTCCCAGGTTCAAGCGATTCTCCTGCCTCAGCCTCCTGAGTAGCTGGGATTACAGGCATGTGCCACCACACCCAGCTAATTTTTGTATTTTTAGTAGAGACAGGGTTTCAACATTTTGGCCAGGCTGGTCTCGAACTCCTGACCTTGTGATCCACCCGCCTCGGCCTCCCAAAGTGCTGGGATTACAGGCATGAGCCACTGTGCCCGGCCTAACATTTTTTTTTTCTTTTGAGATGGAGTCTCACTCTGTCACCAGGCTGGAGTACAGTGGAGCAATCTCAGCTCACTGCAACCTCTGCCCCTGGGTTCAAGCAATTCTCCTGCCTCAGCCTCCTGAGTAACTGGGACTACAGGTGTGTGCCACCACACCCATCTAATTTTTGTATTTTTAGTAGAGACGGGATTTCACCGTGTTGGCCCGGATGGTCTCGATCTCCTGACCTCAAGTGATCCACCTCCCAAAGTGCTGGGATTACAGGCATTGATAAAGATCGATGGGTTTTGACAGATGCATTTAAAAGTGTTCCTCACATATATTCACATCTCAGTATGTTGCCCCAGCTAGACTGCAGTGGCTATTTATAGATGTGATCATTGCACACTGCAGCCTTGAACTCCTGGGCTCAAGTGATCCTCCCACCTCAACCTCCCAAGTAACTGGAAGTACACGTGTGAGCCACTGTGCATCTTTATATCCTCTCACTTGTTATTGTTGATATATACAAAAGCCATTGATTTCTCTGTTAATTTTATATCCTTCCATTTTACTGAATTTTTTTTTTTTTTTTTTTTTTTTAGACGGAGTTTCGCCCTTGTTACCCAGGCTGGAGTGCAATG